TATCATGAAATACGAATTATTGTGTTTGAAAACTGATTTATTATAATTATTGATCAAACGAAATAAAACGCATTTATAAGTTGCAGCTAGTTTTCGCCATTTGTGAGTTAGTTCATGGAACATCACGTAAGCACAATATATCCCAAATCTGACCATTTCTAGTCTTACTAGCTAATGATCCAAGTTTATTATTAATTGGAAGAACATATAATTGATTTATTATCCAAATTATGCACTTAATCCTTAATATTTACCATAATGCGTTTGGTTTAGTGTAAATAATATACCCTTTTCATCTGATTGGTGGATGTGATTGCATTGTATTGTTTAGAAACGCGTCACCGTTTTCAAAAGATGCAGAGATAGTGCAGAGATGCAGATATGTTTGCAATTCTCTTAAGCTATGCTGCCCGCAATTCAATTTTGACGGTCAAAGAAATATCTGGATTGTGAAACCGGGTTCAAAATCGCGAGGAAGAGGTAAAAACCCAATAACGACCAAATTTAATTCGCTCTACCCACTGATTAATCTCTTGTTCCTCTTAATAGGAATAACTTGTCATGATAACTTGTTCTCAATCATGTCGACAGTAACAGATCCCAATAATTTGGATAACAAATTCGTAGTTCAAAAGTATATTGAAAGACCTCTTCTCATATATAAAACAAAATTTGATATACGCCAGTGGTTCCTCATTTCTGATTGGCAACCTCTAACAATTTGGTGGTACAATGAGTGTTATATTCGTTTCTGTTGCCGAGAATTCACCCTGGACAACTTAAGTGAGTAAGTGAAATGTAATATTATTCACAAACAAAATATTTCTCTACTTATGTCTTTTAAGTAGACCTAAATTTATATAATAATTTTGCGCATTAACGATTTACTCGCTGATTTAGGGACATTCATCTTTCAAACAATGCAATCACTCAGAAGTATAAGAATGCGCAAAGATCTCCTCTGCTTCCAATGGATTACATGTGGCACTTGGAAGAATTCCGGCGGTATTTAGAGTAAGTTTTATCGTGAAGGATTCAATGTTTTTCACATATTAAGCTTTGCTTTTCGCAAGAAAGATGGGATTTCCCAATATGAGCACCTATAAGCCGTGGGGCTTTAGAACTCTCGTTATTCAAAATGCATTGAGAATAGATAGATACTGTAGTAAAATCACATATCTCTATGATTATTATATTGGAAATTTTTTACGTGAAAAAAATCACAAGTTCGAACTTTTGAATAGAAGATTTTATTTCGTTTTCTGAGAAATAGATTCAGAAAGACGGAAACGAACTAGAATTATATATATAAATTTCGTTACTGAGGTTAACTTATCAATATTCAAAACCCGGTATTCATCAGACCTAGGTGTAAACACTCGAAGATAAAATAACGAATTTCAAATTTAAATGTTTCAATTTTTTGACCAAGTAATCACAGAATCATTATCGGTATTTTTACCACAGTTGATTTAATTACTAACTACAGCATTTATTTGGTAATTTCAAACTCAACCAATATTTTAAAAATTCGAATATTTATTTATTTATATCAAATGGCAGGCGTTGTGAAAGTTATCATTAGCCCTTTAGTTGACTTCAGGCTTCACAGAGGAGGAGGAACATCAAAGTGAAACAAGTCGAGAGGGAGAGGGGAACAGAAGAGAGTTTCAAAGATGTAAAAGAGACAGACACAAATGTGGAAAAAGGTGAGGTGAGTACTGTGAAAGTAGTCGAATATGACATACAATGGGGTGAGGGTAGTTTGAAGTCAGATGTCAACTGCCAGTTAATAGACTTTTTTGCCGTATGAGTATACGTTGCCCAGGGTGCACTACGTAGAGGTAAGTCTATCGCACACCCCAAAATTCGAATATAAAATAGTATGTAGTTTCTCAGTAAAGATAGCCTTCACAATTGTGGGTGACTCTATTCGTTGTTGGAACTTGGCGTTGTTGGCAAATACGTCAAGAGAAATGGCTGGAGTGTTTTTCTGACGCTTATCATCTCTATCACTTTTCGGGGCACGCCGCCCCTGACAACCAGAAGGATATTCAGTGCATAACCTGTCATCAGTACGACCGTGTTTTCAGTCCCCTC